AAAATCAGCTAATATCATGCAAATTAGGTAATTAATATTCATAGATTTTTACCAAAACTTAATCAACTCTGCGCATTATCCCAGAGCATCTATGTACCAAGTTTCACCAAAATTTGATTAGTGGTTCTTGAGATAATGGTGGAACAAAAAAAAGTGACATACATACATACATACAGACATACAGACAGGGTAACTGCAAAGACTCCCTTTTGTGCTTCGCACACGGGAGTAAAAAATGGCCACCAGTCGGCCATTTTGAATCTTATCTGAAAAACAAAATTATTTGCATCAAGGTCCCATAATGTCTAATGTATATACCAGGTTTGAACAAAATCCATCTGTAAACAGCCAAGAAATGCTTGATTTTTAGGATTTTTTAGCACAAAAATGGCCGCCATTCGACCATCTTGAATCAGATCGTAAAACAAAATGATGTGCATCAAGGTGCTATAATGTTTAATGTATATACCAAGTTTGAACAAAATCCATCTGTAAACAGCCGAGAAATGCTTGATTTTGATGATTTTTAGCACAAAAATGGCCGCCATTCGGCCATCTTGAATCAGATCGTGGAACAAATTGACGTGCATATGTATAATATCATGTATGATGTATGTGTGAAGTTTGATTGTGATTGATTCAGGCATTTCTAAGATACAGGTTCGGACGCACGCACAGACGCACGCACGCACACACGGAGGTCAAAACATAAGTCCCCGTTTTCGGACTGCGTCCGAACGGGGACTAAATATAACCCATGGCAAGCCCTATATGGCCACAGTATGTATTTTACGCAATCCTGAATTCAAGACATGCAACTGGAAAAAACTAGAGTCAGAGAAATGTACTTACGTTAAGTTTACTCTTGTATATGTATTTGGATTTCCCGTTGCTGTCTTTGACTTGCTTGCTAAAGACAACAAGCATTTCAAATAGGAAGATGTGGCGATCTCGTCCTTTGCGTATGATCTGCTTAGGGTCCCATACTTGGAAGGAATCTTGTAGTATTACTTCTCCTTGAGCTTCCAGGTTTTCCTGAAAAATTAAAGAAAGAAAAAACAATAGACCATTTTCCGTTCACTGCGAGAATCACGCGTTATGCGTGAAATCGAACGTAAAAACAGGACAAACAAAGGTCATAGTGTCGGAGTCGCGTCAAACATCGCGTGGGATTCGACAAACGCGAAAGTATTTCGGGGACATTTCCATGCTTAATAATGTGCTGTCCACATTTGATGATAGGCAATTTCGATTAAGTAAGGGTATTCGGAAGCAATATTCCTCTGTCGAAGATCGGCCGGACAATGTAAGCTACGAAATAAAGAAATTCTAGTTCAAAATCAAATCGTTCGATTTTTGCGGCAGACGTTCGACGCGCGTCTTTCATGCATCTCGCGAGATCTCGCAATTGTACAGAAAATCACCAATTAGAAACATAGCAAAACCATGAGAAACCGTGTGTGAAGGAATGTACATGCAGGCTTAAATTGCTCGTGAAATACAGATTTGTTTTTCTTTTTATTGTAAATGTAATCTGAAAATGTAAGCATTATACATTTTGTGCATGCAGCATTTTATTCGCATTTCCCAAAAAAAGTAAAACTCACAAAAATCAAATATTGTAGAGGTTTCTTAATGATTGAAGAAAAATTGTGAATACAATAATATGTTACAGGTACATCAGCGTCAGACAAAGTTATTGCTATACTACAAAAGCAAGGTAAAAATGTAATCCAGTATAGACAAGGAATAACGTTTTATGTAGGAGAGACTAATAGGTTGAAAGGGGTGCAGAGGTAGTGGAAAGGAATAGAGAGGAGGTAGACAGACTATTTAGTTGAAGTTGGGGGTGTCGCCACCTGCGCATGCGTCAAATGGCCATAGCGTGTCATTGTTTACAAACAAGTGTCTACCCATGAGCTTTTGCGTTTTTAGCGTGTGTTGTTATCATTGCTTGGGACTCAATTCTAGCGCGTACACACGTGATGACCCTCTCGCTTTAAAGGGGACAACGAGGTGGTACTTACATCAAAACCATCTAGCAGACTAAGATGCATTGCATCATTAGCTCTTTTGGGCACATTTACCATAACATCCAAACCATCGCTGATTTCACCTTTTCCTTCCTCACAACAAGTTAAAAATTGCTAAAAAAAAAAGACAACACCATAAGTTTGAACAATGCTTCAGCGCCCCCAATAAGTTTTACATTGCTACAGCGCCCTCAATAGATTATACAATGCTACAGTGACTTCTATTTTTAGGAATGACAAAAAACGACCGAAAACTCCAAAAAAAACTGTGCTTTGGACTGGTTGTTCACTCTCCTGAACACTGTAACAATATTACGCCTACATAGGCAATATATTTAAATTTGGTTGTTCAGGATTGTCTCATAGTTGAGTTTGTGCTGTTTTTTTGACTTCAGCTGTTTTCATCAGCTTCTTGACCGGCGTTCCATAGCAGCTCACACCCGAGAATAGGTCACACGATGGTACAGCGCCCTCTATAAGTTAAACAATGCTAATGTGCTCTCAGGTCATTTGGGTCTGCGTAAGCGCATCATTTATGCTTTTTTAATTTCATTTTAGATAACATGAATTTATGAAAAGATATTATTATTTATTATCCTTCAGAATATGTTAATTATGATTATAGGGATACATGTAGCCTTTCTTTGAAAAGAATTAACAGAATAGTTTGTCTTCATCATGGAACGGTTATTTCAAAATGATGTACATTGTGACAAAGTTCTTGGCATCACACTACGGTTGGGTGGAGAAGATATATCAGTACAAAGATATCGTAAAGTATGTACTCAGCCAGCATATGGAAGCTTAAAGCTTCGTTATGCAATCAACTCTCGTTGTATCATCTTCACTTTGCAACGTCCTTGTGTAATAATTTTATTAAAATATACTGTATTAACCATAAATGACCTGAGATGTTCCATAGCGCTGCATATTATTATTATCAACAGTATATATAGCCCCTTAAATTAAATACTTCACCCACTTATTTTAAAATTGTACAACCTGATGGTGGACTGAGAAAAATGGATTGTAACATTCAATGCACAGTTAATCACAAAACCCTGGAAAATTAAGCACCCCCCCCTCTCAAAAGTCATGACAGGGATTTTCGAGTGACACTCATGGAACTGTGGAATTTGGTAATAATTTTCCATATTGGAAGATTTATTCCATATATAAGAAAGTGGTTACATATTTAGAAAATTTATTCCATATATAAGAAAAGTAGTTCCATATTGGGAAAATGTATTCCATATATAAGAAAAGTAGTTCCATATTGGGAAAATGTATTCCATATTTAAGAAAAGTAGTTCCATATTTAGAAAATTTATTCCATATATAAGATAAGTAGTTCCATATTTAGAAAAATTATTCATATAAGGAAGAGTAGTAGATCGTGATGATGATGTGAAAAATGCTGACTTTTAAAGAGTTACATACGCAGAAAATACTTTTTAAAATAATACACGTACTTACCTTAAAAATAAGTTGATACTTTGTCAATCTTTGCACTGGTTTGATTAAGTAAGCCTGAATAGACAGTCCTAAACCATGCCGTTTTTGAACCTCCTATCAAACAAATAAATAATACAAAGTTTTAATCACAGTTCTCAAATAAACAAAAAACATATGGTTGTTCAGAAAAAAAATGCAGCATCAACAATATTTTTCAAATAACAAGTCTGCACAGTCATCGTGACCTGTGCTCGTCTGCTGTATAATTGAACAATATATTTGATGCCAGCAGTCTATCGACATTAGACATAACGATTGCAGTTTATTTTTAGAATCCATACAAACAACATTATTAATATTTTATTCCATTTTGGAACAAAAAAACAACCTATTAGGTATTGAAATTGTTTTGATGAATAAACAAAATGACCTTCTGAATCTAGCCAAACACGGCAACTCATTTGCACACACAAAATATGCAAATTCATTATTGTGTTTTAAACTTGAAACAAAAAATAAAGTATAAAGAAATGAAAATACTTGCGAAATAACTTATCTCATTTGCATACTAATTAACATAACATAAGCAAATTCATTATAATCTTGAAACAAAAAATAACGAAGTATTGAAAATGTACTGATAAAAAGAAAGATCTTGCCAAACAACTCATCTCATTTGCATACAAAATTACATATGCGATATAATAAGATTTCTATGTTTTTCGTCATTCCAATAAACAGAGTTTTAAACTAGCTATATTGTAACTATCGACACTGTTTATTTCAGATCGAATACACAATTTGTTCTCATTTTCATCTTTGAACGCCATGCCACAGTTTTTTTTATAATTTCTATAATTGTTGTCAGTTGCTTGCTTTGTGATTTTCTCTATGCGATTTTTGTATAAAGATCTACGTGCTATTTCCAATTTTCTTAAAATTCCTATTCATTTTCTCTTTGAACATACAAATACTGTAAAATTTTCACTCGGGATTAATTTTTCACTATTTTCGCTGAAGAAATGATTCAGTGAAAATTAAACCCAGCAATTATACCTTTTTCCCCCATACATTCAACTTGTTAAAAATCAGTGAAAATAAATTCCATGCAAAACACCCAAAAAGTCTTTTCAGCGAAAATTAATTCCAGCAAAAATAAAGTATTTTACAATATGTATATTTTCTAAAACATGACAAAAGTTGACTTTAGCACTTAATGAGTTAAAGCGGGAGGCTTGTCACCTGTGCACGTGCACGTTCCAAACGATGATAACACACGCTAAAAACGCAAATGCTCATGGGTAGACACTTGTTTGTAAACAACGACACGCTATGACCATCTGACGCATGCGCAGGTGACGACTCCACCGCTTTAAGCTGACAATAAAGATTTTTTTGAAAAGTTTCATTAATGTTTTGTTTTTTTGTAACATTGCATGGAACTAGATTTCATAGCATCAGAAATATACAGAGCCGAGCAGCCATCACGGGAATAAAATGCAGAAAAAAATACAAAGTGACATGTGATCACTTCTTGCAAGGTAGTCAACTTGAAAGCGCTAACGCAATCGTCTCCACGAGCTGGTAACTATTATAGTATGTATCTTGTAGACAAACAGGAAATTTGAAGACAAAACTGAAGCTGAGAATCCAATTTGATCATGCTAATATAATTGGTCTGGATTTCGTAGCTGCCAGACTATATCAGACAAGTGGATAGATTAGCTTATACTTCTACTGCATCAAACGAGAAAACTAGAAGGACAATCAAAGCCTCTGGCAAAGTGTAATCATCTTATGAATCCTACTTTTAGACCTTACTTCGATTAGGTTCATGGGCGCTAGTATTTCAGTAATTCAGATAAATTATAAATTACGTTTCCCCAAAACCCTTAGCATTAAAATAATAATTTTTCGAAAATTTAAAATGAAAACTTTAGTTTGTTTTATGGTTGGCATGGCAACGACACCTTGGATGGATGAAAACAAAAGTAGTTAATATTAAATATTTTATCAGCAATATTACACTTATGAGGAAAAACAACAAACCCAGCAATCATCTCTCACTTCCTTTATTTTAATGACCTTTTTGCATTCTTTCACAGAATATGCTCAATAATATGCAGAAGAAAAACATCTTAAATTAAAAAACGAACTGAATAATTAATCACTCTGAGATACATGTCACAGTTGTTACAGAAAACATCACGATGGCATCACAGGTGTCATGAATATTTCAAATGATGCAAAAGAAAAAAAACAAAAACAAAAAAAAAACCTTTACCAATTATGAACAAGAAGAATGATATCTGAGTCTGATGATGTAGACATTAAATTATTCATACTTGGCAGATACAGTCATTTTAAATCGCCATGGTAACGCAGCATCTAGGATTTATACATCACAAACTGCTATCGCATGACCTCAATGCAACTAAGCACAGATAACATGCACAATGTTAGAAGCCAGTTTGAATAAATTGTATATGCTCCGTAGTGAATTGTTTTCGCCAATTTCGAGGTCTGTTTTTTATTTTTTTAATTTAGACATATCTCAACAAACTGGTCTTTAAGCACAGAATTTGTTAGTATGTATGTAAAGATAATGCAGCTAATTCAAAAATCAGTCTACATTGATTAGATTTCACAAAATCAGAGTATTGTTTATTACACATACAATGTTGTGCCCAAAAGCAACTATTATCACCAATATTCCTGATTTCACACTTCCAGTAATTTCATGATTTGTGGACTTATATTTCTCTGACAATTAGTATAAATTTGTCTCTTAGGAAATTTAAGTTGTTTTTAGTAACACCTGCCACATTTTTAATTTCAGGAGTGAATAAGTATCTAACGCTGGAAATATATGTTTTTTTAATCCTTCCATCAACATTGTTAATGGACACACTTTTAAAAAGTAGTTCACATCTGGTACCTTCTACCAAAAAGGGTAGCGTTTTTCGAATAGAAAAATCAAATTTGTTGAAAAATAATGATGAAAATTTAACAAAATAACAGACAGAGGCAGTTTCAAAACCATTGGTTCAATAATTCAAGTCTCGATATGAAATGCATTTAACATAAGTAATACATTATGTAGTGTTCTCCCTGGAAAAATGTGGTAGTTGCCAATAGGCGATTTTCGATTCACTTTGAGATGTTACATAATGCTTGAAAGGCGCAGACCAAACATCTGCCACAAAAATAAAATGTTTAGATTCAGAACAATGTCAAAATGCTGAACTTTCAGAACAAAAAATATTATAAATTATATTATTATAAAGTGCAGATTTCCACAAGATTTTCCAACGTCACTATGACCTTTGTTTGTCATGTTTTTACGTTCACGCATAACATGGGATCAGAAAATGATCTGTTTACAAATATGTTAATCACCTAGGTACTTTGTAATTTAGTAACTTTGTTTATCACAAATTTAAAGGGTGGTAGTCGTCGCGCCACGCATGCGCGAGATATACGGGTCTCATATAAACAAAGATGGCGACATTGACTGCGCAGATCAACAAGTACAAACTGATACATTATCAAGCTTCAATTAGGTATTTTTTTTTAGGTGATTGGAAGATATTGAAGGAGTAACCGGCGGTAATTAGTGCAAGTCGCACCCAGGTCAAACCTAATACTTATGATTTCCATTAGAAGACCGCATTGGATTGTGGGAAAATCAATGTTTATCAACACAAATGTCGCGCATGCGACAACTACCAGGTATAGTAACCTATACTCTATTATTATCTGCGTAGAACCATTTTTTTTTAAATTCAACTGTTATACACAAGTACAAAATTATTAAAGGCCTCCCTAAAGTGTCATGGACGAAAAGTAAGATTTGTCCATTTAACAAAAAAAAATGTCCCCGTTTAATCAAAAATGTTCATCAAAGCCCATTTGAACCAAAATTACAGAAAAATACATAAAACAGGTCAAATGTTCTTATTTCAGACAATGTGC